TGGAGAAGCTGCAGGTGGGAGAGGTCACCGGCTGGTGTATAGGCTTTCCTTCAGGATCAATGCGAAGACTCATATGTCACTGGGGTCTTTCAGGAATGAGTCTAATGCTCAACACTCTTCCATGAACGCCGCTGAGGGCTGACAGACTTGGATGCAGTGGATAGAGGTAAAGTCCCAGGTGGAGACATAGAGTGGAAGAGTAAAGATTTGGACACACCGAGCTGATGGTTAGTCGTTGGGATGCATCAGGCTGTCGGCGAGCATCTTGGTCCAGCTAGCTGGTTTTGGTGTGTTTTACATGTCATCTCTTGTTGGGTAAAAAAAACTGCCATCGACGATCAATGGAAGAAAGCAGCCTGTTTGGTCAATCAGTAATGGATCCGGGTGCTAGTACAAAAACTAAAGTGATGAAACCAAGCAAATAATTCAAGAGGTAACACCAAGGTTTAGGATTAAGTTTGGATTAAATTTTTGAACAGGAGGATGTTCTAGGCTCAGGGAAGATGGAGTTAAACTGCAGTGAGGGAGAGCACAGACGATTGAGGCACAGTGAAGTCTTTTTCCTCCACAACTCTCGGCTTAGCCACTCTCCTTGGTGAAGGCTCTTTGATTGGGGCAAGTAGTGGCTAGTGGTCTGCTCTGGCTGGTGGTCAGTGCAGCATGCTGCAGTGGGGCTTGGCTGATCCGACAGTCAGGCCCAGATTGGCTAATCGGGAGGACCGGGAGAATTCCCGGTGGGCCGGTCCATTTTTTGGCCGCGAGGGCCGGTGTCCCTAGCTCCAGAATCTGTTGCTCTCAGCAGTCACACTTTTTAAATTAATTTATTTATTTACTTGACCACAGTCTTCTTATTCATTATTTTACCACAGCTCTGCTCTTTTTATCTATGGGCAAGATGCAGCCTGCAGGTTAATGATGATATAAGTCAGATGAATCACCTTTTACTGTACAGCTGTTGTAGTCCAGTGGTTAGCACGATAGGTTACGATGCTACCGACCTGGGTTTGATCCTCGTCTGAGTAATTTTTTTTTTTCATTTTTATTGTTCAGACATATAATACTGTTAAGGTTGTTGAGTATTTGAAGTTCCAAAGCAGCTGTTTTTTTTTTTTCAAAAAAAGACGTGATAGTGTAATTAGAAACTGAATTGGAAAAGACCTTATTTTAATATAGTCAGTCAGAAACTAAGGTGGGCCCGTCTGAGGCTTAAAACTCCAGGGCTGAAAAGGAGTCCCACTCCGGCCCTGCCGACAGTTCATAATCATCTGCACGCTATCAGCACCCACTTTATGTAGTTGATAAAGCTTCCTTGAGGTCCCTCAAAAACAAACAAACAAACAAAAAACCCACATATTTATTAAGGGTGTAATGATATGTGTATTCGTTTTGAGCCGTTCGGTACGAGACTTTCGGTTTGGTACGCATTACAAACCAAACGATTCAGACTATATCAAAAAAAGAAAAAAGAGAATAAGTGTACAAAATATAATGTTTTCAGTGCAACAAGATCATAAATGACGTTACAGGCAACATGCTGCCTATCCCGCCCACCTCCAAACACTACTCCAGTCAGGCACACGCTGCACTAGCTTACAAAATGGCTAATAACGTTAATGTAATCCTCCTATAACCAACAGCGGGTCTAGCTTTGGGAGCACTTTGGTTTCCCTGTAAGTTATGAGGGTGATGGCAAGAGAGTGGTGAAAAAAACCCAGTAACATCTGCTATGACAGCAAGCTATTTTAGCGATAATATTTTAGCATGTTAACTCATTTACACTGACATCACGGAATCAGTCACTGGAAACGCGCTCTACATGCAACTATACCCGCAGCATTCAGACAGCACTGAAAAAAGTGTTGCATGCAGAACTGTTGCAAACAATTTATTTGTGTTGAATTTAAACAAACAAATTAAGTTTAATAATGTTCAACTTAATTTGTTTGTTTAAATTCAACACAAATAAATTGTTTACAACCCCTCAACATAAAAAATTGAGTAAATCCAAGGAATCATCTTTGAATATTTTTTTATTAGATTAATCTATAGATTCAAACAGGGCAAAACAAATCACAGAGGCAATCGGTACATTTAAATGATATGACCTTAATCGGTAGTGGTAATTTTGGGTTTTAAGAAAATGTTAAATGTAATAAAGCTCCGTTACATTATTCCTTCATTAGCCCATTTCAGTCAGATAATTCCTGCTTTCAGATCCACTAAAATGGCAGGTGACAGTGAAATCAAGCAGATCTGTGCTGTCCGAAGAAAAGGTGGACACTCATTTTTCTGAAAATAAAAAATTCCATAGTAAAACAAAGTTCCATATAAAAACTAAATAGTTCTTTTTATTTGTTCAACTACTACAATATTACATAATTTTTTATAAGCAGCTTTTTGGTTTTGAGTATAATAAATGCATTGGATTTGTTTTATTTGCTGCTAAGCAAAAACCCCAGAAGTATAGCTCTATCACTGTTTAAAGTAAAAGAAAAGAAAAAAACAAGATCATACTTTGATGATGTTATTTTTAATACATAAATTTAATCTGAGAAATCCTCTGGCTTTTTTTTGCTGTATCGAAAACATAACGAACCACTGTGTCTTATTGAACCGAACCATGATTTTTGTGAACCGTTACCCCTAATATTTATAGATACACATGTTTTACAATTGAAACTGGGTTTGAGCTTGTTATTCTGTCAGGCTGCAGTGAGAAACTGAGCGCATGATTGAGCAAGATTCACAAAAAGTTTTCATAATGCAAACAACAGATATCCAGACAAGTAAAGACAGAATGTGACACACATCAATTGGTAACAAATAAATGACACAGCTAAAAATTGAACATAACCGAGAACTTAAATACACAATGAATTAATGCTGTGGTTCCCAAAGTGGCGGTCGTGAGACATGGAGGGAGGGTCACTTGGTGATTTCCAAAAATATCATATATGTTATTAAACTAGAATTACTATATTTTATACATAACCTGCAGAAGATAAAATTGTATTTAATAGTTACTTAAAAACAACATGCAAATAAGAAGCCATCACCCTTTCAATTCTTTCTCTATTGGATTGTGACCCTGGGGTTATTACGCTAGATTAATGACACAGCAATAGTGTTAGTTGCAGCAGATTGATTTTATTGCACAATGTTAAACTTTGACATCTTTACAGTACTCGCATACATTGAAAATAAAGGCCACGACTGAACTTAGAGGATGATTTACAAGTGGTGGTCTTCAAAGGAGATGGAGATGAAAATACTATATTAACTGCTGAAGTTTTCAGAATTGTAAAGACAAAACTACAGAATTACATAAAAGTAAACAATAAAAGATTTTGATAAATCACCTCAGTTTATAAGTACGGTAAACTGAAGTCTAAACCTTTCAGGGTAGAAGATAGAGAGACCTATATGTTATCTATTTCATGAATTTACAGTTTGTGATTCTAATGAATTATTTTACCATAGCCTACAGTTGAAGTCAGAATTTTTAGCCCTCCTAAATTTTAATTAGGCCCCCTGTTTATTTTTTCACATCATTTCTGTTTAACAGAGAGAAGATTTTTTCAAGATTTTTTCAAATAATAATTTTAATAACTCATTTCTAATAACTGGTTAATTTTGTCTTTGCCATGATGACAGTAAATAATATTTTACTAGATATTTTTTCAAGACACTTCTATACAGCTTAAAGTGACATTTAAAGGCTTAACTAGGTTAATTAGGTTAACTAGGCAGGTTAGGGTAATTAGGCAAGTTATTGTATAATGATGGTTTGATCTGTTGACTATCGAAAAAAAAAAACAGCTTTTATTCTAGCCAAAATAAAACAAATAAGACTTTCTCCAGAACAAAAAAATATTATCAAACATACTGTGAAAATTTCATTGCTCTGTTAAACATCATTTGGGAAATATTTTAAAAAGAAATAAAAATTCAAAAGGAGGCAAATAATTCTCACTTCAACTGTGTCACATGTATTTCTGGAGACTCCTAAGTTTGCTGCAGTTCTAGACAAAACTTAAGATCAAACTGTTTTATTGGTTTAATTCTTGATTTAACACCAAATTTTCGACTGAAATCTTAAAATGATTGCTTCTCAACATTCAATTTTAATATATATGTTTCTTGTCTGGTTCAGTGAGTTTCTGTGGAACACTGAAAAAAATTATTCAAAGATGATTCTTTGGATTTACTCAATTTTTTTTACGTTGAGTGGTTGTAAACAATTTATTTGGGCTGAATTTAAACAAACAAATTAAGTTGAACATTATTAAACTTAATTTGTTTGTTTAAATTCAACACAAATAAATTGTTTGCAACAGTTCTACATGCAACACTTTTTTCAGTGAAGCCTGATTAATAATTATGTACATTTTAATACACTTTGTAACATTTTGCATCTTTTATTATTATTGTTTTCATACAAAATTAATAGTTATTAAGTATTTGTTATTAAAATGTATCAATTGAAAAAAAACATGGATATAATTATGCTCACATTGTATATATGCTAGTGTGCGCGCACCCTCTAGCGGAGAGTATCAGTTCTTCGAGTGCGTGTGCTCGAGCTCCGCAGAGGAAGATGTTTCATGTTACATTGTTACAGTTTAATGTTTCATGAAAGCCTAATGCCTCGTAAACTGTCACTTCACATTTATTTACGACCCTCCCCAGATGCATCTGCCATTATCTAACTCGCGTTATGCTTAGTGCACTATTTACCTCTTAGCAAATCAAGACGAAATGTTTGCTTTGAGTAAGTTCAAATAATGTTTTGCTTCACATGTTATAAATATAGAAATAAAATGTAAAAAAAAATTGTGTAACACAAACTCGGCATATTTATCGAACTGCTCGACTGTGAGTTGGATGCGGATGGGAGGGGAAACAGTTCTGACATATGAGAAAGAGGAGGTGAATCTTTCCCTCTTTAAAGTCTGTATCAGTGCACGCGCACTTGTAGTCTGCAGTCGACTGTCAGTCTCATCATCGCAAACATCAGAAGAATTCATCTGGAAAAACAGCACTCAGGTCCACTATTGCTCAATAATGCTGCACGCTTATTAGGCAAACTTTCCGCGGACGCGCTTGAGGATCAGAGCGTTTTTTTTTGAGTCCTTGAAGGAAATATGATGCTAAATTTACACCAGAGTCTCCGTAAAGAGTGAATAATCCACCGGCAGTACTTCATCCAGGACCACCGTCTTCCAGCATGTTCACTGTGACTGTAGTATTTCTGCTCGTGGTAAGTACTTATCTACATTTCGAGTGTTTCTCTTGCTTTTGTCACACCCAGAGAAGGTGAAATATCATTCATTTATTTATAAGTGTTACTGTAGAGATATGAGTATAATCTGTTTGATTTTATTTGAACGTTGCGAATTTAAAATGGTTAATATTCATGTATTTTAGGCTATGATTAAATACTCCACTTAATATAGTTACTTTTTGATTATTTTATATCATTTAAACTCGATTATTGATGTTTTTATGCTTTCCCTTGTTCATGAAAATATATGATAACTTAAATATATGACATACAAGGTCATATATTTATGCCATATATGTAATATTAGTAATACATTTCAAAATATTGTAAAAATGGCGTTTACAAATTATTTTCATTCATTGTAATTACATTCAGGGTATCTACTGAAATATTGTTATGTAGGTCTTAAATCGTGTTTTAACAGGTATTAATTTTGGTGTGCTCATATATTTCTACTCAATCTGGCAATTAATAATCCATACAATCACCAAAAATCTCTCTCAATAAAATTTTATCTTTTTATTTAAAAATAGCATTTAATTACTTTCCTTACTTAACATTTGCTTAAAAGTTCTCAGTTTATTTGCTGCTGAGGATACTGACATGATCAATATTTTGTATTATTAAATTATTATTATTGTAGACTGAAGTCAGTGACAGCTATGTTTTGTTCTAGTTTTTGTAATGGTTTTTTGAAAATAATAATAATAATGATTAATATTAATAATTATTTTTTTATTTATTAATTTGAATCATGTTTTGATAGGGCAAGTGAAAATCTTTTCCAACTGGCATATTCAAAATAAATCCACAGTTTTAAGTCCCAGCTTGGCCAGTTGGCATTTCTGTGTGGAGTTTGCATGTTCTCCCTGTATTCACGTGGGTTTCCTCCAGCTGCTCTGGTTTTCTTCACAGTCCAAAGATGTATGCCATAGGTCACTGTTTCTCAACCACGTTCCAGGAGGACCACCAGCTCTGCACATTTTCCATGATCTTTGACCAAACACACCTGATTCAGATCATCAGCTCATTAACAGACCCTAAAAGGCCTGTTATGGGTGTGACAGACATAGGAGACATCCAAAACATGCGGTGTTGGTGGTCCTCCGGGAACGTGGTTGAGAAACACTGCTATTGGTGAATTGGATAAACAAAACTGGCCGTAGTTAATGAGTATAGTTGTATCCCAATACTGGGTTGTGGCTGGAAGGGCATCAGCTTTGAAAAAAAATATGCTGGGTAAGTTGGCGGTTCATTCCACTGTGGCAGTCTCTGAAAAATGAATGAATGATATATATAAAACAGTTTTTTTTTACTGTGTGTGTATATATATATATATATATATATATATATATATATATTGCTCTTGTTCAGTACTGTATGTGTGTGTGTTTTGTCATTCTTGTTGCACAGTAATGCATTCACTATTTCTTAGTAATAAGATGTATGTTCTCATAAATAATTCAGATCATTTGCATTATATACATTATAACACTTAGGCATCTTTAAAAAGTATAATACATTACAACACATGATCAACACACAATATCATGTGCTATAACACTTTAAAGGTTCAACAATGTAGACGTTGTAATTCTTTAGGAAAAATAATACCGTATAATGGAGCATTATGAACACTTATAATGCGACGTATAAAGAGTCTTGAAGTAGTTCACTCTTTTCTTGTAATAAATTACTCTGATTATCTTTTCACACCCACTTTGACTGACAGCACGTTGTGTTCTTTTGCTTTTGTAACCGGCTGAAATGTTGTTATTTTAGGGCTAATTGTTATTTTGCTTCTGTGCGTGGATTGAATGAGGGGTGTATGCTTTTTAGGCAAAATCAGTAGCAGTAATGATAGATAATTAATTGAGTATACCACATAACTGCAGGCACATTTGCAGGCCTACCTGCTTTGGGTTTTAAGGTTTGTACCAATTTCCTGATACGAATGTGTTGTGGTCGCATGTTTTATCTTGTTTTCAAAATCGAAGCTGAAGGAACTCCCATTTGAACAGCGCAATGGGCACGAGGAAAATTGTAATGTTGCCGTGAATCAGAATCTGAGTGTGGCCAATCATAATAGAGTCATGTTACTGAATTACTGTGATGGCTGAATTACTGTATGCCTTTCATCCATAATAAACACTTATTAGGGCTGCACAATATTGGAAAAATATATATTATAGGTGGGCATAGACACATTTTTTTTTTTATCTAGATTAATCTAGATTAAAATGGCTCATTTAAACTTTGCCAAAGGCATTCAGAATATGTGTGCTACTCAAATAATAAATCTTTAAGAACAGGTTTCTCAAGCCAGGTGGCGCATTAGACCAGGGGCTTATCTCCTGTTTCCAAAATGCATCAAACACTGCTTAAGAAACTTTTCCACTATGAAAATTGGTGATGAAAATAAATGATGTTCAATAAGATGTACTTGTGTTTACGAACTGTTTATTCAGTTAAACATGAATTTCGAAGTGTAGGCCTACATAAGCTCCAGACAGCGATATTTGATCACCTTAATCCGACTAAAGTCATTACTGAACTAAACAGAAATTAAATGAAGACATGTGGGGTACGCAGATATTAGTGGCATTAAAAGAAAAAAACGTCAATTTCCCGCTAACATTTAAGGCACTGTTGGTGGCTTTCTTAAAACAGCGCTGATTTGCCATTGTGTTCACATGCTCAACAGACATGACTCTGATTGGCCAAGAATGTCATTAGTTCATCCTTCGCTGTTTACCGAGTACAAACACAGACGAGCGATCTGCTTGATCGACTGATCTTCACGGTAGCTTCGTGCTCCAGTGTCCGTGTATCTGTGTTTGCTATGGGTGAAGAGCAGTAAACTGATGAGCACTGGTGAATACTATGGTAAATCAGCACTGTTTATGAACGTGCTCAGCGGTGCTTGAATGTTAGCGGGAAATGGATGTCTTTAAAACTTCAATACTGGGACAACACTATTACAGACAACATGAGGATGTGCTGCAGAGGACTGCAGTGTTTTATCGCTCACCGGGTTGCATAGGCTGAAGCAGGGGAGCATCCCCTCAGTGTTTAACTGATGCCATGAACTAAAGCCTTGGAGGACACTTGAGCATATTACTCTTAAAGAGATTGTGATGTTATTTGATGCTAAATTGCTTTTAATTGTTTAAATTAAACTTACTGAATGATATTGAAGTGATGTTTACACCATTTCTGCATTTTGAAATTCTCGGCAACAGCTGGAGGTTTGTAGTCCACAGCATGTTACTGCAATGTTTACAGTGCTGGTCCTATACTTCCGGGTTTCTTTCCACTGCAGCCTCACTTTGGTTCTTTAAAATGTCATCTGCGTAAAATAAGCGTATTGACTGTTTTTTCAAAAGGGGAGAAGCTACACTATCTCCCACCCTCTCTTCATGTTTCGGTTGTGATTATGTCAAACACTGAATAACTTTAGAGGACCTTTAACCACTTATTACGATTAGTTTGCTATGACAGAATGATGCGCAAACGAAAGCCCCGCCCCCTACTCAATATTCTATTTCATTTGAGAACAACAACATACTGAAATAAAAGTCTCAGGATCACGCAGACTTTAAGAACGCATATAAATGATGAATATTCACTCCTTTATGATTAAGCTGACTCTACAGATCTGATGTGTATCTGCTTAAACTGGGGTTCTTGCTAAACTGTAATAATAATAATAAACTTAACATTGCACATTCTCTGATGTCACGATTGCAGATACCCTTTTTGAAGCCTTACTTTATAGGCAACATTGTGAAGCCATACGTTATAGCCAGCGTAACTGATTTGTCTGGATGTTTTGGTAGAACAAAGTACCAAGCACATGTAGGTATGTTCCACATTAGGAGAAAACCAATAAAAATGTGGTTGTTCAGTCACACGTTGCAGATTTCCAGACCCATAAATTGTTAGCTGTGTAAGAAACTCAACATATCATGAAGTTTATAGTGATGCTGATAACAATAATACATTACTTTTATTGTCTGTCCTCTGCACAAATACATATTTAGCATTCTTTGAAGCAAATGCTATGTTATGATGTAAATTGTGGGTGGTTGCTATTGAAATGGTTGCTTACTGGTTGAAATCTGTTAGTTTGTTGCACTTTAAAATAAGATTTTATTTGGTAACATTTATTAGTCTTAATGTATACCATTTCATTTTCAGCATTATTAAAAAGGAAATGGACAATTTTTTGTTTAACAAATATTGAAAATATTTTTTAATTGTTGTAAAAATATATTGCACACGGTTAGTTCATGTTGTCAGTGAATAAAAAACAACTAATGAATTAACCACATTAAATAAATCCTATTGTAATGTGTTATCTAAATGTGTTCTTTTAGTATCAAGATACTTCTGCAGTTTTATTATCATTAGTTTTATATATTTCCCATTTTAATTTTACTCTAAAATAAATGCTGCTGCTTGTTCAAACTACATAAAATTAGCTGAAGAAAAACACAATTCTTGTAATTCTTTTGGACATTTTTTTGTTTTATGTTCGGTCCACACTTGATAATGAAACAAAGTTGACTCAACTTAAAATTTTAAGGCAACAAATTTAAGGACATTTGTGAGTTGACTCAACTTTCAACCCAATTACTACACTTGACTTGATTTAATTAAGTTGAGTAAACTCAAAAATATCCTGAAGTTGTTGCCTTCAAATTTTAAGTTAACTCAACGTTTTGAGTGCGCTTAAATTAAAAAAAAAAAAAGTTAACTTAATTATTTTGTATTGGGACAGCATATAGTTGAAGTCAGAATTATTAGCCCCCCTTTGAATTTTCTTTTCTTTAAATATTTCCCAAATGATGTTTAACAGATCCTGGACGTTTCCACAGTATAATATGTTTTCTTCTGGAGAAAGTCTTATTTGTTTTATTTCGGCTAGAATAAAATCAGTATTTATTTTTTTTAAAACCATGTTAAGGTCAAAA